AATTTTTAATGTAATTAAGACAGAATCTCAGATCGGGGGGGGGGGGCAGGAAGAAATTTGCGTTTCAATTTTTGTCACTGTCGTTGCTTCATTTCGATTTTTAAAGGGAACGCTCGTACATTGTGAGTTGAATAGTAAATAATTTCGTCGTAAATACACCAGTACACCTGAAAAATCGCGACGATTAACTCGATCGACGATCGTGCTTGAAATTCGTAGCTCGAGAAAATTGTTTTGTTCTTTTCTTTCTTTTTTTTTTTTTTTTTTTTTTCTTTTGTCTCTGCGTCTTTAAATGAGAATGTTTCGAATAACGGAGCAGTATTCAGACTCAGTCGAGATTGCTTGCGTTATTTGTGCCTAACTCGATCGGGACTTTGAAACAAGCTTTAACGAAGCAGAATGGGATTTAATTTTCAAAGGCAATTAACGGGACAATGGGTCGATTAATTAGATAGCCCGGAGGGGTGGAGGGTGGCTATTACTCCTGTGTATTTTAGTACGTAGAGACGAGTGCAATACACGAATGACGCGTGTTCCCTAAGGAAAAACCAATCGAACGATGAACGTTCTCCTTTGAATACAAATTCAATATCACTTTATGGAAACATAGAAATACTTTGCTTCGTGTCGGAGACATTTTAGCTATTTTAGCAGAAAAATATTTGACTAACTTAATCAATCACAAAAGTTTTATGGGTAGTTCAAAGATTGAATAAATGTTAATTTAATTGAACCAATTAGACAACAGTGGAAAAAATTGTCAACGATTTGAACTAATATAACTTGGCAAAAGGAGGTCGTTCGACAACGATCCACTTGGTCTCATTTTCAAAGTGGAAAGTCTCTTGACACTCCTAAGTCTGTGAGGATACTTTTTCCTTAAAAATTGCAAAAACTCAAACATTAAAGAATTTTTTTCACGATTAGATCCATTATAGTGTCTTGAAGATTGAAATCTTCTCTGTGCAACTTGTTTTCACCATTTTATTGAACTTTGAACATTAGATGACAGAATTAATTAATTAGGATTTCTTGAATTTTTTACCCAATATTCAAAATTGAATAAAACGGTGAAAAAAATTGCAAGTTCTTAAAAGGGAGGCTTGAATCTTCAAGATGATGATGGATTTAATCACGAAAAAGAATTTTTTAGGAGAAAGTGTTCTTACCTTTCCACCCACTGCGTAATGTAAAATCATCTTTGGAAAAGTGTGGATTTAGTCTATCAAAGTAAAGGCTTCATGGATCGTTGTATGATCTTTTCTACAAAGTTACATATCAGTTTAAATTATCAACAGTTTATCATCATCAACTACCTCCTTCCTTTTGAAAGTAATTCGCGAGAAATACGATGGTATTTTCCTACGCGATACAATAATAATTCCCGCGCGAATTTTCCATAGTTTCAAGGGTGCAACGACGCGCACGAGCATCGATTCCCATCGACGCGTAAAGAGAACCCCTATCGAGCGTCAGCTCTCTCTCTCTCTCTCTCTTTTTAATATTTCGTAACCGTAGACCACGCGTGCAATAACGAGCCCTCGTTTCACAGACTCTTGTCGGAGAACAGGCTGAGGGAAGTTCACAACAAGATGTTCACCGGCCTGACGAATCTTAAGACCCTGTGAGTAGAAACTTTTATGTCTCCTCGCATAAAACGGTATCACTCTCCCCCCTCTGAAACGGAAACCCTTTATAACCCCCGTCGAATATCATTTTCACGCAGGAACCTGCACGGGAACGCCATAACATGCGTTATGCACGGCTCGTTCGACGGATTGACGCACATACGCACTATGTAAGTATACCTCGGAACGACCCTTTTTAGGCTTTTACTAGCCTCGTCTCTTTTTTCTTTTCTTTTCCTTCCTTTACGCGAAAGAGAATTTTCGTTTACCTCCCGGGGAAACATTACTGTTAAATGTGTGTTAAATATCATATCGAAGAATATCAGCTCGATGAAGTTTTAATCGACAATTATTAATCACGGCGCACGCGACGAGTGTCCGTGTACGTTCTGCATATTCGTATGGTAACTAAATGAATTTGTCGTTAATTGCTTAAATACAACGTTAAAACGCGCGTAAATACGATCGAGTGCAACGAGAGAATATAACGATCCGTTAACGTGTCGACTCTTTTCCTGAAACGAGAACCCAATGCTCGGCTACGTGAATATTTCAATCAGATTAATATACCGTGATTATATGAATTACGGTTCATCGGTATTAATACGAGGCACGTGATTCATTAATTATTGCACGTCTGCGCGCGCGTTTTCAATACGTTTCGCCGTCGACTTAACCCGTCTGATAAACGTATCTCGTGTTTCCGTCGGCATAATTCACATCCACCGGGCTAATAAATCGCTTGGCATTTTCAGCAACATGCAAGGCAATCCTTTGTCGTGTAATTGTCATCTCGCGTGGTTCGCCGGATGGTTGAGGAAACGCGACATGTCTAGCGTCGTCGGACACTGTCACGATCCTCCCCGATTGAAGGACGCGGTCGTCAAAGACATACCACATCACGAGTTCAAGTGCAA